CTGTCTTTGATTCGCCGAGCCTGAGCTTCTGATACTGGATTACCCAGCCCGGAGGAAGGGATCTCCTCGTCCACAGCGAGAGATGGGCAGATATAGAGAGGGGAGGGAATGTGTGAGGATAACATGGCCGCAGCCACCGTACTTCTTGCTCACTTGGATCTTCGCCTATCTGTGTGAATTCGCGGTTCGAGACTGGGGCACGCAAAACGCCGTGGTTCGATTCAAAGTGTCGGTACGCCCGTATCTATTCCCCTTGCGGGAGCAGAATGAGGAAGCGAGACTTTGCTATCTTCTCGTTGAGGCGTCTCCGGCAGCTATGGCATATTTTAGCCCGAGGAAAGCGGCGGAAGTCTGCATATGAGCCCGGGTTTGTTGAGCAACATTGGGCCCTTGAAGCAAGGCAAACTAACACAGGCTACCCGCGGGCCCTAGCAGCTATCTTATCTTCTTTCTCTTTTCCTCCCTCTCTCTTCTCTCCCTCTTCTCCTTCCCTCTCTTCTCCTTCCCCCTTTTCTTGCTTCCTCTCTCCTCAGGCCATTGTCAGCACCTCGTCAGACCTCAGTTGTAAACTGCTTGCAGCCGAAGATCAATGAATTCCTTTCTGCCTGCCTCAGCTTGTCAGTCCTGTGACTTTCAATAGGTGCGCATTGGCTATTTGCAAGAGCCACGATCGGCGTATGCCCCAAGGCGGAACATGGTAGAGGCTTCTTCCATTTTCTTTTACCATCATAAGCATCGGAATGCGTCACCGCATCATATTACATTGCATTCAGGTGTCCGATGCCCCAGGTACGCTCACAAGCATATGGTTTCCTTACTGAAAAACGTCTATTCAGGTATTGTGCCTCGGAGTCAGCGGCTTGATACTAGCTACGCTTCCTGGACGTCATCTTCTATCTCTATGTTAGCCTGGGGAAAACTGTGGGTGCTGGGGATCGAGGGGCGCCCGGCATCTTAAGCTCTCGAGATGGTAACAACTCCTGGAACCAAGCGAGGACATGAGGTTTATATGTAAATCTAGCTCCATACCCAAAGGGAACTGCCTGCTCTGGGAGCATTCTTCTTTTGGTATTGGGTTACTTCTTTCTAGTTCGTGGCGCCCATTCAAATCATGATGGTGGATGATCGATATCGACTCGCGGCATTGCTCTTCCCCATCATTATTGAGTATTGCACATGGCGCACAGGCGGGTCTATACGAAGTCAGATCTTTGTTTCCTTGGCCCCCGTACGTTCTTGTCCCTACACGCAATCATAAGGACAACGATTATTCTCATGAGCTACTTGGCACGATTAACCTAGATGGAATCGAGGCTGGATACTGAGCTGACGCAATCCACGTCACACACAACATGGAGTCTCGTTTACAACCAAACAAGCACGCTGGTATGGATAGCTTGTGAACAAGGCAGTGATTCTCTTTCCACTACTAGGTGGTGATAGCGTGATAGACCGCAAGTCTAAGAAAAGACTCCGATCTCAGGGAGTAGTGGCGCTTGTCACCATCTACTCAGGCATGGCACTATCCAAGTGGTGATCACGATAGGGAAGATTGGGCATGAAGAGAGCGTCCTCGCTGTTCACGACTAGTTTATTAGCCCCGTGAGTCAGGTATCTACAATATGTTTGGCGCCTGGGGTCTGCTTTGACGCAACATGTCAGTCACCGCGGACGCTTCTCTACATCTGTTTCCAACCAGGAGCAGTGCTCAAGTTGGCCGCTGCCCTCCCACGGAAAAGGCACAGATTGATACACTACATCGAACGAGTGGCGTTCACCAGGTGGTGGATGATGAGGCAGAGCCTGAGCAAAAGGAAGAAGGTTGAGCAGGATATAGAGTTCCACCTCTCATTGCGTTTCCGTGACCAAGACCAACATCTCCCTCACCTTCAGTACTTCACCAGAGGAAGGATCTAGGATGGTGGATTATGATCAACGGCAGCAAGTTATGGTCTACTTTGCGCTCCAGGGGTAAGAAAGGTTCGGGTTGCTCTTGTTTGCATGAGTTTAATAATCAATATTATATTAAAGACTTGGTTCTCACTGAAGGGGTTCTGGAAAGTAGTTCTTAGTTCTTGACCCTCCCTGACTTATAACGAAATGACGACCGAGGTAGGGAGGGTAGACGAAGGCAAAGGCCCGTATGCATAAAAATGGTGAGCGTATATCAATGTCAATGTCCCATTCCCTCGGGTTGTACCGAGGTATTATTGCATATTTCAATCTCGCCGATGGTCCAACGATGAGCTGCTGGGCATATTTCCCCGCATAAAAAGTGGGATCGGCACAGGGTGGTGGAGTATTGTTTGGTTCATGCACGATGCAAGGGCACTCACTATTACTTGGGTGATATCCATTGCGATGAGAGGGGAATCTCTCGGCGGAATGGGACGGACTCGATCAATCGATCAATTCTTGTGATGAGGAAGGCTTTGGGTCCCATTTTTACCTTTCTTTCTCCTCCTGATTTGCGAGTATACCTTGTTCTGATGCTGCAGATGCGTGTCTTTCCTCGGGTCGAGGTGGTCAGCCTCCTACCCTATGACTGGGTAAGACATTGGTGTGATGGGATTGAAATTGATAGCGCGTTTCAAGCTATTCTTGGTCTAGTGTAAATGGATGCGGAGGGAGGCAAAACGGCGGGAAGAAGGGAGAGAAGAATAAAAGCAAATGAGTCGAACCATACTCTGGTTCCCAGGAGCTCGAGAGCCCCGAGGTCTCATTCCGGAACGCGGACAGAACAGGGAACCTGTCTGTCTCACAGGGCCAGGCTAGCCAGTTCGTGCAGAAAGGGGATGAATTCTTGTACAAGGGGCAGGAAACGGCGCAGACATGCACTCGAAATCCATTGATCCATTGGATTGGACGAGACGATACTGATGTGTTTGGCTGATGAAAAGAAGAAAGGGACGAGACTCGTGCGTGCCCGGAGCTGAGGGCTTATTACGATCTGTGCTGGGTTAGCGCGCGCCACGTAATTCTGGAATCGCAATTCTCACTCCAAGCAGAGCAAGACCAACACGATCGAAGAGCAATCAATGGCGATAGGCACTCGACAAACTGGCCAAGTGCCGGGTTGATCAACGTCGATAGTAATAATACTTCGTACAAGTAGAGGAAGGGAGAGGCACACACGCAACCACGCATGCAGGACTTTCGCCGCCGACTGTTGGCAAGGAGGTGTATATACTTGTACAAGCGATCGCGTAGTATAGTGTGCCCGATCCATGTTGCTTCCTTCGCTGATCGTAGGAATCCTTCCCCTTCTCGGTACCGCTTGTCTGCAAGGTGGGCGGGCCTGGACAACGAACAACGATGCTTGCTCTCGCGGGCCGGCGGTGACATGACATGGGGATCTGCCCTTTCTTCAGAGGAGACTCCATGTTGTTTTGGTCATACGAGGCCAATTTCACGGCGGTTCTCGGTTCCCGCCAGTCCAGGCTCCATCGCCGGTGCCTTGCCTTGTGCGTTGTCTGCCCGCACCCCTTGCTCTTTTACACGGACGCGGAACGAGGCATGCATGCATGGGAAGGGAGATAAGTACCGGGCTCTTTTTCTGAGTGGACATGCGTGTGGAGAGTGGTGTGGGTAGTCTTGGGAGTCAAGCAACAAGGTACCTCTCTCTCTATTTGATGCTCGCAGACTTCGGTACCTGAGCTCATCGTGAATGGCGCTAGTAAACTCCTTCGACACTTGACGAGCGAGCCTCTTTGAGCCCCCAGCTGTGTCCTCAGTCCATTTGATAGCGTCAAGCTTCTCTTGAGGGCGGGGGAAGGTCAAGAAAAAGAATTGGTGGTGCAGGCTCTTCTTCTGTTTTCCAAAAGTCTTCAAATACCTCTAAAGGATCTTGGCACCGATAGGGATCGCCGCGTTCTCTTCACACTTACCGCACCTAGCTTGCAGCTAGAGCGAAGCCGTTGTGCTGGTTGTGATGAGATGGATTGATCACTGTCCATCCCTTTCCGGATTTGGTGCGGGCCTTTCGCAGAGGGCGTCAGCTGGCGCTGGTGATCCAGGACGCAGCTCGTGCTGAGCAAAAAAGCGCTCCATATTATACGTCAATGGGTGGGAGCTGGGATGGGCCCGTTCCTTTCTACCCCCAAAACCCACTGATTGACATGGGCGAACTCGCACCCTTATCCTGGCCATCTTAGGCTGGACAAATGCGCTGAGGTGGTTTTTCTCTTCTTTTCCTCTCTCTGTTTTCTTCCCCCTCTGGTCTCCTCCCTGCTGCCCTCCGAGGTTGGGAATCACCGTTGCATCCAAGAGAGATTGGCCCATTGAGCTTTGGGGGCAGGCAAGCTACGAAGTACACTACAAGTAGCCTTAGGCCCTGCCCTGCCTGGCCTGACGTGAACTGGCTCGGGGTGGTCTCACCTTTGGTACGGGGAATATTACCGTTCATGGTTCCCCTGGACTCTCCCGCCAGGAGTCACGACGAGTATTCACTCCTCGTCATGGAAACCGCCATGATACTTGTACTTGCGAGCTTGTTGTGGCGATGATCTCGACATCTCGCTTCCATTCTCGGGGCCAGGATCCGTTGCCGTCCCCCTTCTTCCCCCATCCCCATGCAAGTACATGTTGGTTCGTTGAAAATGCCTGCATGAGGAGGGGAGAAAGAAGACGCCAAAAATCAAAGTCTGGCTTGGACTGCCCCTTCATTACGGCTTGCGGGTATTAGTGAGTGCGTGCTTGAGTGTGCGTGCGAGTGGTGCTTGAGTGTGAGAGAGAGAGAGTGTGTGTGTGTGTTTCTGCGGCGATGCGGGATCCAAATGTCTGTCCATCACTCGTTGCTTCCTTCCCTTCCAATGTTGGGCTGAAGTGGACAGTAATACAAGTAATAATCATTATCATCCCATATCTATGGATCAGACTGACCTTGACTGACCCTCTACGGACCCTTGGCCGACGCAACAACGTGGATGGGCAAAGGTGCTTCATTCTTGTGCAAAAGGCGATGCCCCTTGCCAACCCTGTCCACTCTTGTCTATTCTGACATGGGGGCGGCCCAAAAGACGCTCGCCAATGTCTTTTGTCCCGGCGACCAGGGACGCCAAAATATTAAGGCCCAGGGTATCTCAAGGATTGCCATACTTGTATGTACGAAGTAAAATACTTGTACCGACGCTAACTCGTCTCTTGCCCTCGTTCTTGTCATCTCAGCTACAAAGTATTATGAACAACGACTCTTCGTTTCCCCTTGCATCCTCTCATGAAGGAGAGACTGATTTTTTTCTTCCTCCTTCTCCTTTTCTGATTCTCTTCTTCTCCCTTTCCCCTTTTGACCCATCTCCTACCTGCATCCTGCATTGCCATTCTTTTTCTATCTCGAGGAGACGACGAGCGTGTTCGTTGGTCCTCGATCCAACAGCAACCTCGTGTGTCCCTTGTCTTTATTTCCGAACCTTTGCTTCCAATCTCCCGCACCTCACACGCACCCCGGTCTTCTTTCCCCCAAAAATATCGAGGGTACGAACGGGAGACGGCCTATTGTCCTATCTACGCCCGCGCTGCTGCCCCAGTGCTACAATCGTTACATTCCAGCCAGGCTGCGTCCCTCCTGCTCAATGCCAGAAGGCTCCATTTTCGCTGTAGCTTCTCGTTTCATCGGCTCGATCCATTGCAACAATACTTCCAATCGGACATTGCGGGTGCCTGTGCGCTGCCAATTGACTTGTTGCGCGAACGGACCGAGCAACTTTAGCACGGTCCAGCACTAAACCCGACTTCGAAAGGCCTCAAATCGGTTGCTCCATTCCACCTGGGGCCCTCGTGGCAAGGGGCAAAGGGACCAAGGTAGTAGCGTCGTTTTTTTCTTGCTCCTCGCCTTGCGTGGCATATAATAGTCTCAACGGGGCCACTGCCCCTCGGCTTGCAGCATGTCTGCCACCACGAGCAACGACTGTGCGCGAGGAGCTCTGCCCCAGCACGTCCACAATTCCAACCACAACCATCAGCACCAGCACCGACAAGCTCACCGCGCGAGTGTAGCTGCATCGAGCTCCAACGCGACATCCTCGAGCAACGACACGGCCTTTTCAGAACCGACGACCATCGCTACCGCCTCGACCGGCGCTTCACCCGTCTTTTTCCCTCTTCTCCCTCTTTTTCTGTCATCTCCGTCGTCAAACCAGCGCCTGCCCGGCAAAGGTCCGCTTCCCACTCCGGCTCCGCGCGGAGGCTCTCCCGGGCCAGGTCCTCGTCGAGCTTGCTCGATGAGTTCTTCCGCCACCCCGAGCGCAGGGCCGTCTGGCAACGCACCGAGGAACGAGCCAACCACGAGCAAGCTACCAAGATGGAGAACCGCCAGGTGATGGGCGACCTGGTCGACTTTTGCGCAACCATGAGCCGCCACCCGACAATTTCATGTCCATTCCCGAGGAGGGCGACGGTCACGAGAGGGGTAGGTGGCTGCGGCTGAACCCCTCGTATCCCGCCGCAGCAAGTCTGCTCCCAGGAAACCTGTGCCCATTCGCCTTCCCGACACCGCCGTCGCCGGCACCACCATTGGCGGCCATCGCCACATCGCCATCTCTATTCCCGTCGAATACTCTCCCTTTGGCCCCTTCGACCGCACCCAGTACCCCGTCTATTCCAAGGACTCCTCTTCCCCTTCCAGTCCGAAGCCGACTCCGTCATGAGGTTCACCGACAGCAGGGGCGTCGTCACCGTCCTGCGCACCGTGTCGGAAAACCGCGAGTCCGCCGTTGCCAACGACGCCATCGACTCCCCCGCCGCTTCTACTCGCCCGTATCCGTAACTCCCGATCCCATTCTCACCCCTAGCCATCTGGCCAGGTCCAAATCTCTAAGCGAGGGCGGCGATAACGCGCTCCGTGACTACCACACCGCCAGCCTACCACCCGCACCCCTGCCCCAGTCTGCTCCCGCGCGCAGGCCGAGTACCGCCCGTCTCGCGCGGCAGAACTCCAGCGCCGGGGCCCCGCCCAGCTCCAGCGGCACAGCCCGCTCTCTGGGGCCTCCCGCCGTGCCACTGTCGGCGTCCGCCCCTTCCTCGCCCCATACCCGCCATCCCGTGCGCCGGTGGAGCACGCTTCCCGCACCCGCGGAGGCCCCCGAGTCTATCGAGGGTGTGCTCTACGGCCAGCGGGGCCAAAAGATGCCGGCCTCCGCTACGCAGGCGCTGGCCCGGGCCGCCACGTTTTCGGGCCGCACTCGCTCCAACACCTCCAACACGGTGGGGTCCAGTACGAGCGCCTCCACAGCGCCGAGGGTTAATATCGCCAAAGCTATCCCCATGATTCGCGTGCCAGGCTCCGCCTCCACGCGGAACTCGGCCTCCGACCTGAGGAGCCTAGCGCGCGGCGGCGCCAGCCCCCGCGAGGTCAACGTCATCACCAGCAACCCCTCGAATCCCCCTAGAGACCCCTCCCCTGTCGGCCAAGTTTCTGCGCGAATCGAGGCGCTCGCGGCGGGACAAGGTCAGCGCGAAAAACGAAAGGATATCGAGGCATCGAGGGCGTCACGGGAGAGGCGCAGGAAGGAGTCTGAAGAAGGATCCTTGTACCGCAGCTCATCCCTCGCCCCCAGCGACACCACCTCCCGATCGCCGGCGGATGAATCCGACTCCGATCCGCCCATGCCGGCGCGCCGACTCCCTTCCCGCCAACCGTCCATGTCGCCCGTCGTTGTGGTCGCCAACGTTGAGCCATCAACCCCTCCTAAGAAACCCTCCATCACGGTCAGCCACCACTCCTCCCCGGCGTCGACCCCGCCCCGGACGCCCCTCACCGCCGACAGCCTCTCTACCCACTACACCACCAACCCGCGAGGGAGGTCTCCCGGCTGCAGGAGCCCGCCGACGACGTCCCCCTCGACCGCGTCTCCCTATCCCGTCGCCGAGAGTGGCGACAGGCGCGCGATACCCAGCCCTGCAGGTCCCTCAATGGACGCATCCCAATCTCCCCTCGCGCCTCCCCACTAGCAGCAGGAGCCTCCCGTCCTTTGCCGAGGAGCGCATGCGTGAGATGGAGCGCCGGATGCAGCGCCTCGAGCGCAGCGGCGACATGTGGCTCCACGCCATCGTTCCCGTCCTCGACAGCCTCAACCGCACCCTCACCATGATTCAGGATGAGCGCCGGCTCCTTGGCGCCAACGGCAATACTGCTGCTGGCGGCGACGATGACGGTGGCAACGACGGTGACATCGACAACGAAGACCCCGCTCGCAACGGTGATGGCGTCGTCGCTCGTGGAGGCGACAAGGGGGCCAAGGGCGTTGGCGGCTTCCCGCGTCTTACCCGGAGGAGCACGCTCAACGAGAAGGCACTGCTCGACCTCAAGCGCATCGAGCGCGGCGAGCTGCGGCCCGAAGAGCTTCGCGGGTCGAGCGGGCTTGATGCGCTAGAGCCGCTGATGAGGGAGCTGCAGCAGGCGGCTACACGTGGACAGGCCCCGAAACCTATAGAACCCGCCATGAACTTGATCGAGGCTGAACCAGCGAGGTAGCCAGGGCGTTGAAGAAGAAGAAGAAGGAAATCTAGGAAGCATCATGGATGTGTTGGAAAAGAAGGGGGCGAAAGAGACGTTGACTGACACAAGAGAGAGGGCCGTTGGGCCCGCGAGTAGTAGGCGATGGAGTTTGATTTTAACAGACGCCGGAAGCGTGAACAGATGTCTGGAGGAAGAGTAAAATACCCCGGGGTTACGGAAGAAAATAAATACCTACCCTCCTTCCACCCAGAGAGGCGTTGGCATACCCTTTTAGAATAGGGGAACATATCAGAACACCCCCTCCTGGCCACTCGTTCGGCCGGCCGTCTCTGGGTTAGATAAGGGCATAGTGTACATAGACGACGACCACAATGCTAAAGCAATCTTCTTTGTTACAACAACTTTTTGGCTTACTCCGCACCCCGTGTTGAATATGGAAAGCCGCGCGGACCCGACTTGTCCCGTGCCGATGCCTGCGGTTTCGTGGGCATGGCGAAATTCTTCGGACGGAGGCGCAAGTCCTGTCTCGCCTGATTCGGGCCCTCCCGAGACCGTAAGTGGACCGGATGGTCGTTGGGAAAAGCCGGGAACCGCTGGCGGGAGAAGCTCGGACCTGCACTTGGGGGTTTCGGGCCACTTTATTTATTTATTTAGCTGGGCCACCCCGGGTAGCCGAGAGTGAGAATATTTGGGTCTTTATAGTAGGAGGAGGAGGAGGAGGGTATATCTGAATAGTTTTAAGGCGGCAGTGTTGCAGTGGTAACAAATGGAGCCAGCCCGGTATCCACACACACCCAAACCATGCCCACGCTATAGATCCGATGTAGTTGGGTTAAAACAAAGACTGCTCACATTTGAAGAAGACTGGTGCGAGTAAAAATCTAGCCTTTTGCTCATGTTGCTTAAGACCCGGTCTATCAAAGATACTTTGGATATACGCTTCACGCATAGGAAACAAGCAAGGAGGAGGAAGAAACAAAGCAACACAAAGGCCAACAACCCGTTTCTGCCGTTCATATCGATATAACCCCTCCAAAAGAAAAAAATGAGGAAAGGAACGAGGCGAGGAACGCGCCGTAAAGTTAATAGTCGGTATTGTAAACCCCGATTGTTCCTTCTTTGAGCTTCGTACTGCTCTCTTTTAAAGGTGTTTCGAATCTGGTCTCTCCCACTTCCCTACAATCTTTAGAGCTCTACTTCCTGGAACGACGCGCCGTCGGGTGACACAGCAGGCTTCGCCTGAGCCGACCGGGACCCGCCGTCTTCGCCATCTCCATCGTCTTCACTGGACGACTTGCTCTCCGCCGAGGGGCTGAGCGCTGCGGGCCGTATCGCCACCTTTTGCGCATCCTTTTCCTCCACCCTCATCTTTTGCTCGGCTGCCGCAGACGTTTTGGGTTCCTCTTGCTCGCCGTCGGATTCATCCGACTCTGACGAGACGGTCGCGGCTTTTCCTGCGCCGCCGCGTCCGCCTGCTTGTCGGCGGGGGCGGCGTTGGCGGGAGATCTTTGTGAGCGGGCGGTGACTGCACGGGCGCCGGGGCCGGGGCGGGAGCGCTCGTCTCGATGGGACCGGGGCGCATGGCGTCAAGGTAGAATTTGGTCACGCCGAGGATGCGGCCGTTTTGTTCGCAGGCGGCGACCCATTCCGGCCTCACGACGGGGATGTTGCTCTCCACGGCCTTCTCCCAAGCAATTCCCCGTCCCTCCGTAGTGACAAAGTGTGTCGTGTCGATACGCACGGTATCAGTCAACTTGGCGCCAATCCTCTCCACGGCCTTGACAAGGTTCTCTCGAGCGACGGCGGGGAGAATGCCCGTGGTGATGGTGATGCCGCTCAGGTCCGTCATCTTGTGGGTACGCACGGCGACCTTTTCCGAGCTATAGGTGCCCGCGGTGGTGCGTAGGACGAGGTGGAAGGTATATTCTGTATCGACAGCGAGGCCCGAAATTTTGGTGCTGTGCATCTCGCGGGGGCGGGGAATGTTGCCGGCCTTTTGGCCGTTGCGGTACAAGGCTAGAGATATGAGGTCGGCCGTGGCTAGCTCGATGGGGTCCCATTCGAGGACGACGCTCGTCTGGGTCGCATTGAGACAGCGGAGCTTGGGGCGGGAGGGCTCGGTCGCGCCAAAGGAGGAAAGAATGTGATCCTGGAGGGATTGGAAAGCGAGCTCGGCTGCGCGCTCGGAGCTGGTGTTCCGGGAAACGGCAATATCGACGATGCTGCCCGAGGAGATGTTGGGTGGGAGAAGAATAGAAGGAAATTCGATCTAGAGGGGCGCAAGAATGGCCAAGTTAGCTTGTGCGACCGGCTGACCTGGGACGGGAACGGGGTGCGAGGACTTGGTGGTTTCAAAGGGGCACAGAGATTCAAAGCAAGAAGGGGGAGGAAGGAGAGGCCATGGGACTTGGGCGTAGGGGGCAAGGGAGGAAAATAAACCTACCAGTCTCTTGTCGGGCGTGAGGAGAACCGTCACGCCGGCGTCGACCTTGCCGACCGTTAAAGACACGAGCATTCTCGTAGAGATAAGCCCGGACGAGGTGCGAGAATGAGGGGGGAGCGGGTGCTGAAGAAGACGTGAAGTGGTGCGATAATTTGCGTGGATGATCTCGACGGCGAACGAATACGGTTGCTTCGAAGGATTACTGACGGGCAAAGTGTAATAGCAGTACGGGGGTAGGGTTATCGGTCGGTCGGTTGGTGCGATTTGTGAGCTTTTTGCGCCTAGGGGTGGCTGGAGGAGACAGTGACGACGTAAGAATAATTACTAGTTGGGATTTTGGCCAAGATGAGAGGTGTTCCAAGTGTTGCTGTTTAGTGCATAACCTCGATATAACACTGCCTATCAGCCAAGCTTGAACGACACCTTCAAGTCTCTGGGGGCTTCTAACTGTCTAGTTTGTGGTTCAATCACCTCAATATAATCTCCGTTCAATCATTTATGCCATTTTGATTCCTCAAGTTCTAGGATAGGAGATTCTTTTATTCTAATCATGCTCTTGATGAATATGCAGTGCGTAGTGGTGTCCGTCGCCGAACAACTAGATGCAGGAAACGCTTCAAATAATGGTACATGAGCGTCGCAGGAAGAAACGCGGGTATTTGAAAGAGGGAAGAAAAAAAAAACAGAAAAAAGAAACAGCTAGAAAACAGGGGCTCATGTTTGTCTTCGCGTCTCACGTCCTTGTATTAAAGGCCTTGCGCCTTGCGCCTTTGGAGTTCTTAGCTTTTGGACAATCTCCCGTCCTACCTTCAGGCACTCCTCTTCCCCCATCTCCATGACTGCCAAGGCGTCCTTGATAGTGACCATGACGGTGCCCGTCAACGGAGCAGTCGGCGTCTGGATAACGCTAGCCCCGTCACTGCCAAGGGGTGGTTGAGCAATCTTGCCGTCTACGGCATAGCCGGCCTCTGCCAGAGCCGCATGGATGCCTCGTCGTAACCTGCGCCTGGAGGAATTGCGCACTACAGGCTTCACTTGATACGAACCCACAATGTGTATCCACAGGGGTTCGCTCAGCTTCTCCTCGTAGCGATGAAGCCAGTACGCTGTCAGGGTGTGCTCGGGACCGGTAAAGTACTGGGCCATGTGGTGGGGGCGGAAAGCTCTTCGCGCGCAGTAACTGACCCCCAGAACGCGCGAGGCGGCGGCGGCCATCTTTTGGGTTTTTAGTTCCCGTGGGAGGCGACATTGTGCGCCTGGAGCCAACGGGAGACCGCAGGGGCGAGCTTCTCCGGGGCTCTATAAGATCTTGAGGACAAATGGTAGGTGTGAGGCGACCAGCTCCAGTGAGGCTCAATGCGCAGACGCGGGGCGAGGCGAAGTGCGCTACGGATCCGGCCTAGAGCCTCGCAGGCCATTGCAAATCGAGAGTGAGATGCCAACGGACAAGTTGCATCCTCGGGCTGCTGAGGGAAAGCGTTGCTGGGCGGCGGGCAGGGGAGGTGCCCGGAAGCCGGCAAGAGTTACTTGTTTTTAAATTTGGGGGTTTCCTTTTGGGGGTTTAAGTTCTGTGAAAATGAGAACTGCATTCGAGGTACGAGGTATGTGGCGAGGTGTTAGTTCAAGGGCTGCGGTGCATATTTAGCCTTTCCGCTTTTCGATGTCTGGAAGCGTTTTTCGCGAATCGGAGACCTGGCGTCCCTTGACACACAGCTCGATGAGGTTTCTGGTGTCAAGCGCGAAAGCTTGCATGGTCGATCCGGGGAGTGATTAGATAAGCGGCGTAGAATCAGCGGAACAGACTGTGAACCCCACATAGTCCCGACTCCCCACCCCCAGAGCACTATTCACTTGGACTTGCCTAGAATAGTACTTCCAGTAAATCAATAAAGCCGCTTCTACTGGATCTATTTCATCAACCAATGTCACCGTAGCGCAGCGAACCACCGCACCACCTCGCCCACTCCACCAACCCCGTTCCGAGCGACAACGGCACTGCGTCCCGTCTCCTCATCACCTCCAACGTCATCTCCTCCTTTTCCAACGTCAGTTGCTTTCTTTTGCCCTTCTGAATCCCCTTGAACAATTCTGTCCAAGGCAATTGGCCAGTTTGGCTGAGCATTTCACTTCCCCCACCCCATCTCCATCTTGGAACATAGGTTCCGCCGACTACCGGCCACTGGCCCACGACCTCCATTCCTCAACTCATCATGGCGGCTGTGATTGATCCAACGAAACCTACCAAGTATCCCGTCGTCCTGAGCGATGCACTTTTAGGTGGGACGGCGAAGGACGTTTTCACAAACATACGATGTTCGTCTCTATTTTCCTGCCATTCACTTATCGTGCGAGGCTTTGGCTGACCTTTGTTCGAACTAGACAATCACAAACCCGAATTAGCCTCAGAAACCTCCCCAGAACAGGCTCGCCTTAAACCGGCACTCCCCGGCTCGACCTCCTCGTACGAGCTCTCCTTTCAAGATGACGGTGGGAAATACGCCTATGCGGGCACTCGCACCATTGGCGAAAACCAATACATCCTCTACTTTGACCCTTCACGCAAGGTCTTTGTCCTTGACAAAGTGGACTCAACCTTCAACATGAACTTGACCCGCACCCCCGATAACTCCGATCCGGAGAGCCTGCGACTGCAGTTTCAACAGCTCGACACCTCCATCACCGCGGACACGAGTATGCTGGCGAAGCCCACGAAAGCTCCTGCGAAACCCACCCCCAAGGCCACCCCAAGGCCGCCCCTAAAGCGGCCAAGAAGGACCCGCCCAAGCGCAAGGCACCTCCCAAGAAGAAGAAGGAGGAGGTGAAATCGATCGAGTTGACTCTGCCCGAGCCCGCCGCCGAACCCAAAAGGAGCCAGAGAAGCCCAAGAAGAAGAAGAAGCCGGACCCGGAATCCGAGGAATCCGAAGACGACGATGGCGGGCTGCTCGTCGAGTATCCTGGCAGCGAAGCTAATCGGCAAAACGATTTTTCGCCTGCTTTCCCCGACAACGCGAAGCCCTTGCGGCGCTTCTCAGACTTTGCCGAGACCTTACGTGAGTCCGGAAACGATGATTTGGACGGGGAAAGCGTATCCGACAACGATGACCGCCGCCTGCCCAGTCCGGTTGCGAAGCAGACCACCAATCAATTGTACGAAGGCGAGGAAGATGATGACGACGAAGAGGTGGAGATGGAGGACGTTGATATGCAGCGTGACCTCGAGGCAGATTTAGAGGCGGACCTCGAGGCCGGGCTCGAGAATGAGCTCGAGGCCCACCTTGAAGCCGGCCTTCAGTCGAACCTGGAAGATGACCTCGCCGCTGAGCTGGAGAATGAGTTGATGCAGGCCAACAGCGGTCAGGACGCCGACTCGGAAAGCGAAGTCAGTGAGGAAGATTAAAGCGTGCCATCTGGTTTCTCTTATTTTCTTGTCCTTGTTTTCCTTTCTTCATGGCCTCTTATTGTCGGAAAAAGAAGCTGGACATGTCCAGTTTCACTTGGCGTTTCTTACTCTATTTTTTTCTTCTTTTCTACTCTGTAGCGAGCTTTGCACCGGAATCGTGCGGCGGCGTTTAGGACTTGTCGATGGTGACAATGGCAGATTGATCACACTTTCGACGTGGGCGAAACGAATACCAGGACTCTCTTTTGGGCTTTCTTTTCGAGGACGCGGGTTTAAGTTGGCAAAACTACATGCAAGTACTGGAGATATACGACCAAGCTCTCTTTTGGTTTGATGATTACAATGACCAGACTCTTATCGTTTTTTATTCTCTCTCCTTGCAAATTCTCACTGTAGTGGGCGTACACCTTATTCACTCTGTATTCTAGGGAGTGTCTGGAGGGTATCATGATTATGCTATTTATCCATCCTAGGTCTATCTAATTATCCATGTGCAAAAAACAATGATGTCTAAAAAAAAAAAGGTGAGAGTAACCAAGGATTGGTTTTTTATGCTCCCTCTGCTGGCGACTTCAGATCACCTCCCACCTGGCCAACCTACCCACGCTCTCGCCAGGGTTGCGAATCACACACAGCGTCCCCTCCTTCGCATGGCCGCCTCGCAGCTCGCCGAGAACCTTGCCCACGGCGATAGACCCGATTGCCACGCCCTTGCCCTCGCTCAGAGAAAAGGCGCCCGTGGTCACAAAGCCGATCAGGTCCTCGGCGTTTGGCACAAGGGGTGGCCCGCCATGTCAGCCTCGTTGGGAGCGAGCGGGGAAAGAGGGGCGGCGCGGCGGTGGCAGCGTTCACAAGGGATTTTGCAAGCAGCCGCTTTCTCGTCTGGAGGTCGGCGCCACGGGGATACTGGGCGGTTGTCGTACGGCTCGCCGGTTTCCCAGATGCCTTGGCGCCAGGGAGAAAGGCGAGCCACTGCTCGCGCAAGTCTGCGGGCAGGGTGCCTTTTCGGCGCGGGGTCTCAATGTTGCCTGTTGGGTGGCTGGGACGACCACACCAGGGTCTGCGGACTCCGGCGCCCGACGCGCGGGCAACCGGTAGATGCGGGCACATGTGGTTGCCACACCCTTGCCTACAAATGCCAGGCGCACTTGAACAACGGTCCTCGGGGGCGAAGACAGGCTCTTTGCCGTCACAAGGTCGTTTAATTGGGCCTTGGAAAGCCGGGAGATATTCGTCAAACCCTGTGGGCTGTTAACGACATTGGTTGCATCTGCCCCCGAGCTTTCGTCCACATCCATGGCATCGGCCGAAGACGATGGCTTGCCATTCGTTGTGGCATCCATGTGGCTTTCGCCATTGAGACCCGTCTCAAGTAACAGCTCAAAATCACAATGTAGCCCGTTTCCAACCTCTCCCTTGCGACTCGCGCCAAGCTCGACGGATTCCCAGGCCGTCCTCTTGCCTTTGGCCGCTTATCCCAGTGCTCTTGCCGCTTCCGCCTCTGCTCCAACTCCCATTGAACACCGGCATTGGTGTTGATGTAGTCAGCAGGGAACCAAGGCTGATCCCTCTCAAAGGCCACCTGCTGCATTTCGCGAAGCCCACCGAGCCTCGGGTTCCCACCCGAATAGAGTGGATAGTGAACAATGCTATACCATAAGGGTTGTATGCATTTCCACGGGGCGAGGAGCGTCCAGGTGCCCTGTGCCTGCCTTCCCACGCCGCAGCGTTGGGCTAGTAAAATGATAGGGATCGGGGGATCGACGGCGGTAGCTTTGAGATAGGCGCCAGGGGTTTTGTTCGTTTTCCTGCGATCGATAGCCCTCTTGGAGGGCAAATGGGATCCTTCATTTCGGGCGTCTCGACTCCATAATTGATAGGGTTGAAGACCGTCTTCCGCAGGCCAACTAGCCAGGGTATTTAGTAATTCATCTGCTACTACGTTTTGTAGGTTGACGGTTCGAGCTGGGTACTGCAGCCTTGGATCCTGGACGGAGAAACCAAGGACAGAGTTTGCAGGTAACGACGCCGGATTCGTAAGGCCGGTAAGGGCTTTGAACAGCTTCCCATGAGACTCCATGGGCTTGCCATCCCTTGTGTAAGGAACGAGGACGCCGGACAAAACTTCGGTCGAGGCTGGCCCAGTAAACTCGATGCTTCCAACTTCGAAGCGCAGATCCTCGATGTAGAGCCTCGGAGTCTCCATCTTGATAAGCCGGAGGAGCTCATCAAAGAGTTCGAGAAATGCAGACGGATGCACTCGTAGGAAAACTTCCCGCCGCTTCCTCTGTTGGGGAGGGCTTGAACGCCTTCCTCCCCTTCCGACAAAGGCTCGGGGTTCCATAATACTGTCGCGGGGCATATGTCGCGCCGAGGCTGCGATGCATCTTTATCCGTGCTAACAACACCCGTCCATGTGCGTGTTCCCATCCTCCATCGCCGACCCTTGTCACCCCAGCAGTCCGATGTGGTGATGCCGAGTTTTTCAAAACCCTCTCGATACCAGCCACATTTCCATATAACCCAATGGTACTAGTATAGCTGACATCCCAGACTAGGGCTCCGCTCTCGCCTTGAGCGCGATGGGTGGGGCGGTATGTCTTCTCGTTGGGGGTTAATGGCACGGCAAACCTCCAGAGAGGGTTCTTGGGCTCCGTCATGCGAGCTCGTTTTGCGTGCCAGACATGGGTCGGAAGCCACGTCTTTGTGATTTGGCGCTTCTTAAACTTGGACTTGACGGGGAGAGGAACATTGAGTGTATTCCGCCGGAGTTTGGGTCTCGCAGGCCTCGTCGTGATGGTAGCCTTCACGGGGAGTTTATCACCGCCATCCACATCCATGGAATCCGCGCCCGCCTTCGCCTTCTCTTTCACCTCTCTCTCCTTCCTCTTTCTCTTTTTCTCAGCCAAAATCCCCAGCCGCTTCGCGGTTTCAAGTCTTATTCTTGCCCTCGAGGTCCGAGGCTTCCTCCTTCTCGACACCACGATGGGAGTATTATCTTCTTTGCTTTCCCGAATCGCCTTAGCCCTCAGCCTCTTTGGTACTCTCTTGGGGTTGTGGCTGGCGGTTCGCCGCCGCAGACTCCGCGGGAGCCTCTGGAAAGCCCGGCTGCTGCTCGCCTCCTTTGTCCGCCGCATGCTGTCCTCGAGCGCGTCGATCTCGAACTGTCTAGCGGCCAAGAAGGCTTGGAGGTCGAGCTCCCCGTCTTTGAGCGCATCGTCCGCTGGCTGTGCCGCAATCTGGCGTGCATCGAGGAATTTTGTGCGTTTGGGGACGACGCGCCCGGTGTTGAAGGCGCCGCCGTGGTCTCCATTGGCTTTGCGAGTAAGTTTTCCGGAAGCTGCATTCGGGGCGTCTTTACGCTTCGACATATTCTGCAGTCCTCCCAACGACGGCTTGGGTGCCATGCCTGGTAGACGTCGACTCGATCGTCAGGAAAATATCTCTGTCTAGCTGTTGGATCCCTCTTCGCGGTTGTCGCATGATTCACCTGTCAAACAACTTTTTTTTCTTTCCCTTTTGGGAAGCGCCTTTCTGCATGGCGTTTGCTTGGAATGAAACTCGTAGCTTCCCTAAAATAAAGAGTTATGGTGGGGTTATCTACAGCTGGAGGCAGGAGTAGCCACAGAACTGGCCGTACAGTGGGCTGGCCAGCCAAGTCGTGAAAGAAAAAAGCGATACTGCAAAACCGATCTACCTTGCCACGGTGGATTCGTATGTCACTATCTACCAAATCTGATCGGGACTATACTTACAGCTCCCTGTCAACTGAGTTCTTCATGTCTGGAAAGCTGTATTATTAGTGGTTACCACAGCCTTTTGCCAGACTTGATAGGGTAGATTAGTTTTGCGGTGCCGTTTATTTCTTGCACGACTTGCCAGCCAAGAACAAAGCCCACACTGGATTGATGCCCCATACACCACCACTGGTGCAGTGCTCACCCAGAACCCACATTGAACTTTGAAGCGTGTGGGCAAGTGCAGTGGGCAATCCATTTCAACTGCATTACTAATACGTCCACAGTGCCAAGTTTTGCGAGTGTTGCGCCTACTCTCGGCAGAGCAATCTCGATGATTTGAGCTCCAATTCGATCTATCCCAAGAAGAGAAAGGCTGGATGTGCCAGCCCAGCGTTCCCGCCCATCCAGCAATGCACCATCATATCATAATGGATGGAGGAAACAGGATCCATCACAGCTCGTAAACGCACAGTATGAATTTCTTACCGGATAAGTCGCGCAGAGTAAGAGCCTTCCCCCTCCCCCAACGTGCCCCGAATCGCGCTTGAGAGGTTGAAGGCAGATTGTCTCGGACGGGTTTTGGTCAAAGGTGCGGTTGATGCTTGACGCTCTCGCCGGCCTTCCGGAGATGACGGTTCACCAGCTTCTCACGTTTCCTTAAAAATCAATTCCCCAGTTCGCGGCGGCCAATGATTCCTTCGTCATAGAAAGGATCGCGCGCAATAGTTGGACGAGTTGGATGAGATGGAGGCCCTCAAGCGCAAGATCCATCCACCTAAGCTAACAAAACGATCCAACCAGCCCAAGTTTGAGCTACATCTCAAGGTTGGTCTTCCTTAGCTGGGGAGATGCGCCGCTTATGCTCTCCCTCTCCCCTTCTTCCGGTTTGAAGTTTCGCTAAGAAATGGTCTATCCAGATCTACGACCTCAATAATGTCCCCTAGTGTCTGGCTACTCCTTCATCAAATGGCATCTCACTAGCTCCATCCATGCGGAGCACCGCGGGCGCACGCAAAAGTGCCCCATTGCTAACCACCGTGTTGATTACAACTACGGCAAGTTCGTTCCCTCTGTTCGCATCTCGATTGATCGCAATTCGAGCTTGTCCGAGTCTTTCATCGAGTTCGAGGTGCTCCAAGAATTTCCTATCGGCGGTGCTACCCGCGATGAGCGCATCCCACTTGGAATGGTGAGGTTGAACCTCAGCGAGTTTGTCGAAGAGAGCGATGCCCTTGCGACGCGGAAGCGAAGCTCAACTTTGAGCGTGGGCAGCCTTCCTACCGCCATCGCGGGGATGACGGGCGGCAACATGGGCCCCCAGTCTTCCCCGAGTCTACGGCGACGATCAAGTTGAGGAGGGCATCGCGCGGAGGTACCTCATGCAAGACAGCAAAATCAACAGTACCCTCAAGATTGGAATCCTCATGGTTCAGATTGATGGCGAAAGGAATTACATCGCGCCACCGCTAAAAACCGCCCCCGTCTTTGGTGGCATCGCCGGAATCATGGCTGGCGATCAAACTGAACAGGACGAGCCTGGCCGTAAGTACCACCCTTCCATCCCTTCTCCAGATCAATCTTGGAGAATCGCCGTTCTTAACCTGCCTTTTCGACCCGAACAGAAATGGCCGTGACTTCCAAGTCCCGCGACGCCGCCGAAGTCCAGGACCTCTACCGCCGTGCTCTCGCCGCCTCTTGGTGCGCTCAACCCGACGAACACCCGGCAGATGCCGTCATTGAGAACATCTTCTCCGGGGGCGACGGCTGGAACCTTTCCTCCGCCCGCCCGTCAACGGCGCGGCCCCTTCCGTCCTATTCCACCAACCGCATCAGCCCGGACGACGACTTGGAGTCCAGCGGAAGCATCTCCGAGGACGAAGGTCAAGGCGGTACTCTGCGGCCCTCGGATATCCGCAGGGCCCAGCGCCGCTTCGGGCACAGAAAGCACGCGCTTACGCTAACCTCTCAAAGAAGCTCCCACACCATACGCGACGAGAGGACGGCCGCACCCAGAACTCCCGTCAAAGAAGAGGAATCACGTAGATCGAGAAGCGGCAGCTTGGCGAGTCTAGCGCCTACGCTAGGGAGCAGTGATCGCGGAGCGAGTCCCGGGATGAAGAGGGCCAAGGAGATTAGTGAGACGGAGGCTCGGGAAGATCTCGTGGCATGGAGATTAGGAGCTAGGACAGCCAGGATTTGATATGATGTCACCAGTGCCGCCAGGCGCACACACAACCCAACCCTTCTTACCCATGCCGTAACATGATGGGTGCAATATCACATCGCCCATGCTGCACCATTTTCCCACCGCTCCCTTTTGGGAAGTTGTTTTCACGCTAGAATTTAGTTCACCTTCCAAGCGGGCGTTTTAACCTTTAACATGATAGTCATGACATACTCATTTTCTGGGAGGGTGCCTTCCATGACTGTTCTCTTGCGATCTAGGCAAGGGGTGCTATAATCTCGAAAATTCGTTGCTATACCTAATTGATGGCCCGAAATCATCTGCTGAGTACATTGATGACCGAGAGTTTCGGTAGAGGGGAAAAACTAAACAAACAGAAACTATCCATGGATGCTTCTACTACCCCCATCTACACTACTTCAGAACCAACCGAGCCCTCTCGTACCTCTAAAAAAAAAGAAGGACGCCGCATTTTTGTATCCCACCCATTCAGTTTTCTTTTTCTTCATCAGGGAAAATGCTTTTTCATGCCATGGCGGCGCTTCCAAGCGCTGTTTTCCGTGTTAGGAGAACCCAAAGTGTAGAGTACACGCAGGCTCTCCCTAGGCCTTATTCACAAGCATCGTCATCAGGATCTAGATTGACCGATGGCTTTAGGAAGAAGCCTTGATGTTACCCCTGACACCGCCCTGCGCACCAGCCTCCCTGATGGAGACGGTGGCGCTGAGATCGGCGAGGACGTTTATTGTCACCTCGACCTTGCCACCCTTCTTAACACCCTTGAGGGCGGCTTCCGCGAGGGTCGAGCCAACCTTCCAGACCTTTTCCTTTGTTCCTCCTCCTCATCAGACTCGTCGTCGGAATCGTCGTCGGAGTCGCCATCCTTGGCCTGGGGCTTGGCCTTGGGCTCGGGCTGAGTGACCTTGATGTGAGTGTTGCCCTCAACGATCTTGATCAAGACGTCACCGCCGTTAGCGGGGGCGGGGAACGTGATGGAGCGGCGAGCGGGAACGGCGGTCTCGGGGGCGACGATGGGAGTAAAGACCTCCTCGCCGTCAGCACCAACCGTGAGGACACCGATGGCGTTGGAGAGGTGCTTAACGGTGCTGACCGCAGGGTGGGTGGACTGCTCGATATCTTCAGCCTCGAACTCTTGGATCAAAGAGGCCTGAGCGCAGCACCTCGGACGGCGAGTTCCGAAGGGTTCAGGGAGGCAACGTTGATGGCGGGAGCGAGGATCGTGGTGGACTCGGGGAAAAGAGAGACAAGGTTATGAGCGATGCGAGGGGTGTGACCGGTACCACCGGCAAGGACGACCTCATCGATATCGAGAACATCGAGGCCAGCCTTCTTGATGGCGCCCTCGATGAGACGGTTGAAGCCCTCGAAAACCTTGCGGGCCACCATCTCGTACCGCAAACGGTTGATGGTGATGGAGAAATCGTGGCCATCCGCAAGACTCTCGACGCTGAAAGAGGCGTTGTTGCTCTTGCTCAGGGCCTTCTTTGTCGACTCGACTCCAGCCTCAGCTTGGCCAAGCTGCGGGGGTTTTCTCTGGGGTCAACGTTGTGCTGCTTCATGAACTCCTTGGCGAAATGGTCGATGAGGGCCTGGTCAAGATGGACACCGGCGAACTCGTAGTCGTGGACAGTGGCGAGGACGGTATACATGCCGCTCCTAGAGGCAACGATTGAGATATCAGACCGGGTGCCACCCAGATCGGCGACAACGATGATCTTGTCCTCGACGGTGGCTTCCGGTCGGGCATCGTAGGCGAGAACGGAGGCAACGGGCTCGGACACGAGCTGGAGAACTTCGATACCGGCAGCATTTGCAGCCTTGGTCAAGGCCTCGCGCTGCTTCTCGTTGAAGTTGGTGGGAACGGTAATGACGGCCGAGGTGACGGGCTTTCCAAGATACTCGGAACCGGCGGTTACAAGACGCTTAATGTATCGGGTGGTGACTTCGGAGACGGACACAATCGAGGCCTCGTCTTCAGGGCCCTTGTCTTGGATGGAGAACGACACACCATCCTGATCCTTGGGGTGGGCAGAGGCGTGGGTGTGGGTGGGGTCAATCGCCTTGAACCTAGAGTTGCGAGGTGGATTAGCAAAACCGCCCGCCCTCGTTTTCTGCGCAAGCATGTTGGATTATGACAAGTCTTACTCTTGACCAAGGAAGTCCTTGAAGTAAGCGAGGGTGTTGGAAGCATTCCTGACAAGGAAGTTCTTTGCCTGGCCGCCGTAGTACTCGTCACCGTCAGCGTAAGAAAGAACCGTGGGTATTTGGCGGTCTGTCACACCAGAGAAGTTAGTCACAAGGCCAAGTTCTGATAAGAGCAAGGGCAAGAGTCAATTCCCACCTCCGTCTTCGTTTGCAATAACCTCAGCCTTATCATCAATGGTCACGGCGATGGAGCTGTTCGAGTTGCCCAATGCGATACCGATAACGGTGCGGGCGCCCGGTTCGACGCCAGCCTGGGCGGCCCCTGTATCAGCCATCTGGAATTAATTTGTGGGAAATTTGTGCTCGGTGCGACGATTAAAAGGAGGTCGAGGAGGTAGCTCTCGTCGTTGATGGTGGCTTCGTGGGGCGGTAGGGGGAAAAAAGTTTCCTGGTCGTGAAGAATCGTTGGTGGTGGGGCTCTTTCTCTCGAGAGCCTTTGCCCAATTTTTTTTTCCTTGTCTGTGAACTTTGCATCCCAAAGAAGAAGCCTTGGGCGGGAGAGGGTGCTTACACCCCCACTAATAATAAGAGACACCACCCAACAGAACGCAGTTGACTATTACGCTACCCCACCAAGAACAATTGCTGACATAACCAACATAACCACGCGCAGCGTCAAGGCTGGCAGCTGAGAGGCAGGGCCATGCTTCCCAAAGAAAGAAAAATAGACTAAAACCGACAGTAAAGAAGGTATCCTCGACTTTGAATACCGCGAGCAGCCAAGCCGAAACCCACCCGTCCATATTAAAGAAGTGTGCCGCCATGGCGGGCAAACCAATTTTCGTCCTTCCGGGCGACGAGATTGACGAGTCCCTCATACCCACGCACCCGAAGCATCCTCCGCATCGGCCCTGGCCTCCGCCACGTTCCTCCAAGCGATCTCGTCCCCACCATCGCGGGGCCTCTACTCACGGACAAGCGGAAGAATTCAGTGTGGGTTGAGAGGAGCACCGGACGGGTATGTCTCACTCACCAGTTATATTTCTCTCTTCCCTTCCTTCCTAACTCTCTTTCTTGCATAATAGTACCTCCCTGCCGTTGGCGATCTAGTCATCGGCACCGTAACCCGCTCTACCGCCGACTTTTACTACGTCGCCCTCTCCGACTACGCAGCAACTGCTACGCTTCCTCAGTTGTCTTTTGAAATGGCGACCAAAAAGACGAAACCAAACCTGAGCTCCGGCGCCCTCGTGTACGCGCGCGTCACTCTTGCCAACAAGCACATGGATCCCGAACTCGAGTGCGTCTCACAGTCAACTGGCAAGGCGGATGGCCTAGGGCCCCTCGTTGGCGGCATGGTGTTCAGGGTTTCATTAGGCTTCGCGAGGCGGCTCCTCATGCCCAAGGCTGTCGCCGAGGGCAAAGTTGTGGTGCTGGAGGAGCTGGGCTCTGCTGGTTTGGCATTTGAAACGGCCGTGGGCAGGAACGGCAAGGTGTGGATCAACAGCGAGAGCGTCGCCACCGTAATCTTGGCCGGCAAAGCTTTGGAAGAGACAGATCAAAAGAACCTTACAGTAGACCAACAAAAGAAGCTTGTGCGTAAGCTTATAAATACAAAATGAACCCAAGAAAGACTCGTATTTCCCACTCCTATCCCAATCCTTGAGACACTTCCATTGAAGGAAGGTTTGGTTTTTTGCAGAGATGGAAGAAGAAATTGCAAAGAATGCCAGATTGGCTCTCTACTCCCATACATGCTCAGTGAATTCCGATCAGCCTCCGAAAGGATGACATGTGGGAATCATAAAAACGCCGGAACCTGCCCCCGCCAAGCTGTCTGGCCGGGGAACATGACACGATTGCGGCGTTCCACACCCGGCCCTGAAAGAAGAAAAATACCAACACTATCTCACTAATTTTGAGGCCGTAATAAGGCAGCTCATTTAGCGACATCACCAAGACAGTGACATGCTCAGAGCGTTGGCCACCTGCTCCATAGTCGCGCGTCTTACGGTTCGGACCATCGAAATCCCCCTCTTCGCGAAGGGGGCCCAGCCTAGCGTCGCCAAGTGGTGGAACTTCGTAAGTGCGCAACTAGAGACGCCGGTGGATTCTATGATATGCAGGCGTAGATAGGCCGATCTAGGCCAGTCAAGAATTCTGTCCGGATGTGGATTGACTAGCTCAGGTGCCTGCCATAACGATATCTACAAACTCAAACTCTTGGTCGGGGAGCGGGTTCTGGCCATGAATGTTCATCATGTGCCGACGCAGATTATCCTTGCGCGGGAAAGATTTCCTCCCTGCCTTGAATAGGAGCAAGTTTGCTCAGGGCAGTGATAGCGCCGAGTTTGCTCGTGCTTGTCGTTGATATGGCGGTCAAGATGGGTTTTCGTGCCGAATCTCTTGCCACATCCAGGCCGCTCGCAAACGTGAGGGCGATCATGGTACCTCTTGTGGTGACTATAGTTTTTGGTTAGCGGGGCTGGGCAATTCAACCGGGGGCGAATAACGCAGGTCAGCTAAACGTACTTCAACTTATGCGGCTGGTCAAACTTTTGGCCGCACTTATCGCAAACCAGGATCTGGGGGCTCTGCGGCGATAGCGGGAAACGAGGATTAGGCGATGTCCCTTGCTTGATTTCGGGAGTTGCGAGTGGCCTCGGAGAGGGGCTGGTATCTGTAATTCGGGTGTCAGGGGTGTTAAGCGTCGAGGCCCCAGACGGAGAAGGGGCGGGGAAAGGTGTCGAATAAGTGGAGTGGTCAGTATAGTAGGTATTGTCAGAGCTAGCATGTCTCTGATGTGTATATTGCTGGGAGGTGACCCTTGTTGAAGTGGTGCGAAATCCACAATCGTGGTTGGGCCAACATCGTGCTCAGCCTTGATGGTGACATCTGGAATGCCGTTGGGAGGCACAAATTGGGTTTCGGCCGGGTCAGGGATCCCCCAGCGTAGTTTATAACATCGTCTTCGCTGGGCGTAGACGGGGCAGGCTCGTGTGTCGACTCGGGCGGCGACGCCATGCTGATGCCAAGGGCATCGCCTGCTTTCGTGGGCCAGCCCTCTTCAATGTGCGCGGGCGATCCCAACCCCACAGGAGGCTTCTCGGCAGTTGTTGTTGTCATGTTCATCAGCTCCGCGTTTGTCCGCCAAGACTGCTCAGCAGCCGTCATGGCTCCCATGACAAGCATGGGATTAACGGTTCCCGGGGAGCTTGGCCGGGGGCGCTAAAGGTGGGGAAGAAGGCATTGGAAACTGAATTTGGCTGAGATCAACCGCGCGAGCTGCCTGCTCCTCGGCAGAGCGGGACAGCTCGTTTTGTTCCGGCTCAAGCTCGGTGGGTGACTCTGAAATGTTGGGGGCCGCGATCGTTGCATCAGGGTGGCTCGAGATCGGGCCAACCACAGTCGATGGAGAGCTACTGCTGCCACGAGAGCCTGTGACGCGCCGAAACAAAGATTCTAGGAGCGTGCTGGTGCTCATCCGCGTGGGGAGCGTGAGGGCGATGGGTGTGACATTTGGAAATTCCCAGTCGGCGAGGTGTCGAGTCCGAATGCCTCTGACGGGATGTCAGTATTATAGTAGCTTCCACTATATCCACGAGTCTCGCAAGAAGCAACCATTCTCGCCATGTTGGTATCAATTGGCGGCGGTATTGCGCCGGTTGACGATGATGGCCCAGTCGCCGTATCGAACGGCGCAGATGGGGAGCCGGAGGCGCCATCGGAGCCCTAGTTGTCGAGGCATCGGTGCCATCGGACGAGCCTAATGTGAGGTCCTTGGCCGACTGACGGTCCCCAAGCCTGCTGTCCACGCGATGCACATATGAGTCGGTAGACATGCGTCGATCGATGGGCGCGGATGAGAGCTGGGCCATAGGCGGCGTGCTAACGCCAAAGGGAAGCTCGCCAGGGCCGACTTCGGGGCCGACATGTTGCTTCCGGCGTCGATTCCTATAGCGAGCAACAATGGGCCAGAGGCAAAGTAATATGAGGAAGGCGCCCGCGATGGTGCCGACCGATATGCCGGCCTTGGCACCACCGGAAAGGCTCTAGGTTCGGGCCGCGCCCGAGAGATAATTGAGGGCATTGTGGCGACGTTTGGTTGAGAGAAGATGATGACGAGAGGAGACGGTTCTTCGATGAGAACGTGATCGTACGGTTCGAAGGCGGGCAGCAGACGAGCGGGTATGGGTCGGTGGACGGTGAGAGGCGGGTAGGATTAGACTGCACGTGAAGAATTCCTCAAAAGTGCAGCGTCGCAAACGTCCCCAAGGGACTCATTCGCGGGTGGTTGAGGGAAATCTGAGAGGAAGCCAGGAGAGGGTGGTGATCGCGGCGCTACAGGGGTTGTGTGGTGAGGGTGTGCGAGGGCACAATCAATCAATCGTCGAGCAGGATTGATGATTGAGCGATGCGGGACTTGGAACAGCGCCGGGCAATTCGGGCGGAATTGCCGAATTGTCCTTACTGCCGGAGACGACAACGGTGAGATGAAATAGACATGATTGCGAACAATGAGGGTGGTCGTGGACAAAAATTCATTCAATGGTGGCGGAGTGAACGAGATGAAGTGGTACCAGACTCGTTATTAGCAGCCCGAAGCCCCAGCGCGGTTTGATTATAGGGTCCGGCTTCAAAGTATTTTCAGCCTCAGTGGTGGGGAGACAGCACCAATCACCTTGGCCAGCCACTAGCCCCCGTCTGGGGCGAGTGCACTGTGGTAGAGTTCGGCGGTCGAAGGATGAATGATGGACTGCTGCACGGTTCAGTGTTCGCCAGCACGCGCGGCCCCTCTCCAAATGGGTGCTGTGCACAAGTAGTGAGAATGGCACCCAATCGATTGACGGAAAGGCCTGAATGCCGTGTCGAGCTGGGGAGGATTCGCATGTGGCGGGGAAGTTGAGCTTGGTCCGTTCTCCTCCAAGTAGTGATGTACATCCTCAAGTGCTCCACGAAGCGGGTGTTCGAACATTGAGGAGAGCGCAGGCGGCCTCCCAGCCACTCGCCAAGACTTGCTAGTACAATACCTCGAGTCTGGCGGCAGGGGTAGCGCAATCTGAGGTACCTCGCTTAAGCCGTCCAATGTTTCATTGGCCTCCCCATCACTTTCAGCCAGGTCAGCTCAACTGGTGTGAATGGAACCATCCGAGAGGGCCCTATTACCCGCGAACTAGTGTACAATTGATGCACAAGAAGAAGCGCAAGGCAAAGAGCGCCTTCAACAACCCAGATCGACTTGAGAGTAATAATATCCCACCTCTCACTCACTGCAAGCCGATGCGGACGGGACAGGCCCTGATTCGAGGTACTTTCCCATTGTCGCCAGCGGTCAAGAAGAACTTCCTCAAACGCCCTGAGACAAATACTCCCTTGAAGACTGCTGAACTATTGCCATTGTGGGTTCCCGCCTGCATATCTTCAGCTCGCATTGGATCCTGGTATTGCTTGAACCCACGCTGCAGCCTTATCAGTGAGCCAGCCACCCAGCCACACACCAGCCAGTCAATTCAGGCGAGAGCTGTTGGACATTTGGACTGACACGCTGAATGCTGTTCCAAGATGTTTCCATCAAGTCGTGTCTCTTTTCAATGCTAGCAACCGCCAAGGGTCCTGATATTCCCCGCGATGCAGAAACAGGTCTTAATTGTGATGGGCACGTGTTTCCGGTCCGCTCCACCCTTGACGGCCCTGCATATCGGGACTCATGTTCCACTTAAGGTGGCTCAGACTGTCCTAAATGCGCACTGCTTGATGGCATTTACCGAGGCCAACCCATCAAACCGTTTACATCAAGGGTCCAAGCTCGACGTGAATCCCGTTGGTCTTGTTTTGAAACGTCCCAATACGAGGGAGATTCTGGAGATCTTTCCTGAAGTTAGCCTGAAATTCACTTCTCGCATAAGGAGCAGGGGTTAACGGAGCTCCACTTCGCCATCAACGAAGCATCGCTGCAGTGCCAGTGACGTTGCTTGGTGAGAGGCATGCCGCGAGGGATGCGATCTTTTCCTGGGCAAGCCCGGCATATCTATACAATTTGCCTTGCTAGTTTTAGATTTTGCGAAGATACTCTCAACCCGAATGTTTGGACTCTATGTTTGTCAACATGAGAGACGTTGTTAGTATGAGTTAGAATATGAGTGAGAATAAACGCGGCCAGGCCAATGTCAAGAACATGGCATGCGTATATGTCCTCTTCCTGCCCAGAACTTGTCATCTTGAGTTTGCGCGATATGGTTTGCGCGAAGTGACAAATAGCAGCGAGCTATTGTGTTCGACATGGAACCTGCGATTCTTAGAGACAGAAAGCCACAACGCCGAGTCAAGCAAGCCCAAAACCACAAAGAAGCGTCCAGGTGTAATGAAGAAAAGCAAACTGAGCCTGGGATCATACTATGTTAAATATTAATCATTGATAGGCCAAGGCTCTCTGCCTCCTTTCCTTCCCTCTCCTCTCTTCACTCTCTCCCTCTCTCCCTCTCTCCCTCTCTCCCTCTCTCCCTCTCTTATCTGGAAGTAGGCGATCATATAAACCTCTATAGTGCTATTCCCAACCTCTATAGAAGTCGCCATGAGATATAGATAGCAACTAAGAAGTCTCAAGGACTTCTTTTTTCTTGATCTCTTACCCGCTCACTCTTACCTGACCCTTTGGTTCGGGGTATATATCTCTAGGTCTCTCATGCCTTCCCTCACTTAACTCCCTACCTTTAACTAATAGCACTATACCAAGGTATATACCCTCATATCTGATCTTCCAGCTAACACAGATAGGATAATAGAGTAGACCCAGAGCAAGAAATGATTCACCCAGGCCTTGTTCTCTGATATAGATCAACGATAACCCTAACCTGGAGCAGGACTCCCATCCCTATGTGTGGGCTAAGCTCCCTTGGTTTATCCTTCCCTTCTCAAACCTCGTCTTGTTCTCGTTTCTTTCACTGGAACACATCAACCCTATGTTTACAGTATCCACAGCCTCCTTAGCTCAGACTCCTATTTACGGATTCTCACTCAGTCAAAGTAGAGGGCTTGCCTAATCTTGAAGTCATTGGTATGTATGTCTTTCACTCGCCTCATATATGTCCCAATCTCCATACATCGGGTCAGGGCCGAGTGTGTCGCAGTAGGCCAGGCCCAGGTTCCCTCTGCCCGGTTGTACACCATATGCTACTAACAAGCCATTGACACTTACAATCTTTTCGCCCTTAATTCAGGGGCCAAAACGATGGAGTCGGAAGAAACAACCAAGAATGGATGCTAATCGTTCAACCCGGCCACAGTGATCCCGGTTTCCCAATAATGGGGAATGGTGCAGTCTTTAGATTAGCGCCAGGGACGCAGTTGGTAAGGAGGCGCAATTCTTGTCGGCGGAGCCCCTCGAAAACCCTTTGATGGGCAACTTGGATCTCGGCTCGTGCTCCAAGTACGCGAGCTCCAAGATTGTCCCAGTCACTAGCGACGAGTCAAACGCGAAGCAGTTGGAACTCCTCGAATAAAATGTGCTTAGAGACAACCTGTCCAGTCTCGAGGCTGGCGGTCTTGATCCCAACAACACCATCAAGGTGCTCTTGCGTGTAGAGGCCAACTTCGTCAGTTATCTCGCTGAGATCTATTGTCAGCTTTGCACAAGCTCGCTGGCGAGAAGCGATAGGGCTCAGGGAGGGAGGTCTCTCCCGTGAGCACGAAGCCTTTGAATGGCTTTTGGATTTCACGAAGAAGCCCAACACGTTATCAACTTCTTTAAACTTCTTCCTCACATGAGGAACCCATCCGTCTCGGAATGGGCTTGTTTTCGCCCCGCCAAGGTTCTCTATCTCATCGACGTAAATGCATCAGTCGATGATTCTGCGTCGGGTTGAAAAAGGGCGTTATTCGCATGAATAGCTGGCCGTATGAGATGCGCCAGAGGAGCTCCATCAACAAACGCTCGCTCTGCGAGGCTCTTGAAAAGTCCGAGGTGGAGCAGCCCGGCGCCCCCGACTTCAGCCGCCGGTTCGTCAAACCGGCTCAGGGACACACGGTGGCTGGTGCCGCCCCTATCGAGAGCGACGGGGCACTGGGCCTCGACGAGGCAGCCTGGACCCATCTTAGCAAGCACAAGGCGCGAGAATACAATGAGCTGGCGTTGTCTTTTCTCAAGCTCTTTGAATACGGGGTGCAGACTTCAGGACGAAGCCAGGCCCTTCAACGATGCGTCTACAGGCTCTACTCCGACGTCCTCCGGACCGCAGATTGTGTGGCCACAGCCCGTTGCTGCGTCTAGAAACCTTTCGCGAATGTTCCGCTCTGGCATCATCTTCTTGGATAAGGCACCGCACGTCAGGGAGCTGACGAGCCTCATCCCGACCGCACTTTTCCGGCTTCTGGTTTGGATCATGTCGGGCGATTACCGGTAGACTCGGCCATCTGTCGCCGGGACCGCGGACGTCTCGCAGCCCGACGATGTCCGACTCATCAGGAATCCCTTTTCTCGACAGTTGACTGTCAGAAACCTCGAGCGAGCGGACCGAGTCGGTGCTGTGAAGAACAATCTTCTGATCAACCACCGCGCCTACGGGGGCCTTGAGAACTTGCCGTCGGTCTTGTTTTACGGGGACGCATGCGGTCCGCCCTGCCCGCGGAGGACAAGTACCCGCCCGCCGTTGAGCATCTCCCAAACTACCCGACGGCGTTGGCGTAAGGCAAGCAGGGCTCGAAGCCCCGCCTCCTCTCCTATATATCTGGATCAAGGGAAAGCTTGCGACCCAGTAGTTTCTACAAATCCGATTTTTAAGACTGGGTGCTTGGTCGCGTCATAGAACTACTCCAGGATGACGAGTTTCGTCGCGTGAACGAGACCGATCAACCGGGCAGCATCATGATTATCGCCCTTTACTGTACAGCAGTTGTCACTACCGAAACTTGGTCCGCCAGTTGGGGAATAAAGTAAGGGAGAGGGTGGAAGTTCGAACAGTGAACACGGCTCAGGGTCACCAAGCCGACGTTATCATTCTGGACCTCGTTCGAACTCGTACCCGGGGCTTCATGGACGACCCGCACCGGCTCAATGTAGCCCTCACTAGGGCTCGCCAGTCTGAAATCATTGTTATGCACCCAAAGATGAGAAGGAAGAGGATGGGAAACCATTTTGTTGACACCTGATATTTTATTAAGCTAGAGAACAAGCGCTTCCACCGACACTGCTTGGTCGTTGTCTAGCCTCAGCCGGCTCCGATCGAGAACCGGGGCAATATTGAACCTACGCAAGAATGAAAAGCGCCACCCACGTTCTCTCAGGCGGCAACAGTCGAGGTTGAGGGTATGTTAGTTGTGGATGGTAGTGAAGGTTGATGGGACAAAGGCGGCACATGGTCTCTAACCTTCAAAGTATACCGGCCGCCTTCTTAGTGGCCAGGAGCAAGAAAAGTAAAGATTAGAGAAAAATAGCTAGAATAATCGCATAAAGAGTAGCCTCGTGGGAGTAGCCAGTCCAATGGGTCTAGATCATGCGCGTTTCAAACTGTTTCGTAGCTAGGAAGGGCATGGATTCAAGTGGGAGACGGATATCTCGATGTGATGTTAGCTGCGAGCAACATACGACATATCGACCCAGACTAGCATTCTGCACGTGCACCCTTGTTCCTCTACCGTAGAGCCAAACGAAGATAGGGATTTTGAGACGCACGTTATCGGCTACACCATTCCCGTTTAGCGCATTGGGGACTCTGGGGATGAATCCAGATGGGTCGGCTCCTTGTTCTTGGCTCTTCGTGCATGGCCTTTTCCGCGCGCCCCCCGCGCCCTCGTTCGTTTGGGAAAGCGTCACTTTGCGGTTCCTGGGAATTGTCCGCGTCTGGGGAAAGGAGTGGTTGGAGGAGATGGTGCGAGTGTCCGCGCAGAAGGGTGCGGGGCCATTTCGGACTCCGGGCACCACTTCGAGTCTCCGTGGTATTAATATTAAGGTATCTAAAAGGCAAGGGTGATGCATAAATTCCTACGGGATTCATTGTGATGGATGCCGGCTCTTTCATCGTAGTGGTTGGGAGGGGGATGCTAGTGGTAAGGCGGAACGATGAAGGCAATGCGGTTGTTTAGTATCAAATGTGACGCGCTGCCTGTCCTCGGCACTGCTTGTTCGATCCCGGTCATTCTCGAGCCCAGCTTTTACGTGAGGAAGATAAAAGAACTAGAGGTGAGCTCCCAACTGATGCTTCCATCTCCGGATTCAAGAAGACCCGGGACCTCGGCCAGCGAGATGCTCTCCTTGAAGAGCTATTGAACTTTGGGGGAGGGGTGTTTGCAAAGATCGTGCCGGGATTGATCGGCGATCCCCAGAGCTATGGTTGCACAGGAGGAGAGGCGCCTTGTTGAATCAACAGAATACAAGTTAGCGTATTACATGTGGACAACGAAAAGGGTATAGACAAGACGGGAGAAGGAGAATGAGGGAGGGGGGTTTTCAAAAGAAAAGCACTCGGGACAAGAATTGTGGGAACAGCCCGTCAAGAAATGAAGAAATTTGTATGTGGAGTTGGAGCACTGGATAAGGTGAAGAAATGCAGGCCGGTAAACAAAATGATGTCGTAGCTATGGCACATCAGGGATGAATATCAAGATTGATCCATAATTGATCGGTTGATGGAGGAGGGTGGACCACCGAGAAAGGGTCTCCAGCCGGACATTTTGACATTTCGAATCCCGGCCCCTTAGGTTGGTGCCTTTTTTTTTTTTTTTTCAACACCTTCCTCACGGCTTCTTGTTTTCTTTTATCTCCTGCCCCCAAGTATCCTTGCAGGATCGGGATAGAGGCGCCTTGAACAGGGAAGATGGGGGCGTGAGAGCAATTTTATGTGCAGGTAGAACCTCTGCCGGCGTCAGTAACTTGGGGGCATGATGGGTCCAATGAAGATGCCAACCGTATATCCAGGATCCATTTCTTGGGACAGATTCAGGTGGCCAAAGGCAAGAGGGGCGGGGAGAAAAGCACGCATCGGTCGAGGCTAGGTTGATGCTCGCATCATGACAGGCTTGAGGACTCCATGTGTAGATAATAGACAGCCGAAGAGTCCCCAGCCGGACTTGCGTCTCTTCACTTAGGGCTGAGGGGCGGCTTATCTGGGTTATCATTTTTTATCTTTTACTTTCCCTCTCGCACATGCTACACTAGGTAGAATTAGGTCTTCTCGAGGATAGCCCGTGAAAGAAGTGTTGATGATAACCACAACTTGTTCAGTTTAAAGGAATTGAGATAATAGGCGAGCTTGCAAACGTGGCACACTAGCCGATGCACGATACTCCGAGGTTTTGTCCCCCACCTTCGAGTCAATCGGCGGCCGGGTAACAAGAAAAGACGGGGATCGGGATCGAGGCACATGGAGTCTTTCTCGAGGGAGGAGTGTTCACTCAAGCATTCGATCATCAGATCGGTTCGACGCACACCCTCAGGGTTGGTGCTATTATCACTATCATCGGTGTCGGGCAACGCAAACCCCGATGTCCGCTGGGGGCCAGTGCGCTCGGGCTTTTCCTCCGTGTACCTCTACCTTGAGAGTTCAATGTGCGTTCTTATCTCCGTGCCCGAACGTTTTCACGACTGGACGCTCTTGCTGGCGGGCTTGAAGGAGTAAAGCGCTTCCCGCCCCGCCCCGCCCAACCCCAACCCCAACCCTCACAGGGGGAGGTGAGGAGAATCCCCTTAAACAAGGGACGAAGTTTCGGCGGGTGACTGTTGGATTGACTCAATTAATTGAATGGACGGCCGGATCCTTCCCACGTCTCAAACGCACTCGATGTGCCGTATCCGAGCGCTAATGAGCGTGGGAGAAGCAATGATCGCGCTGCAAGGCGTGAGGAGGGGCGGCATGCAGGCGGGTTTGGAGTAGCTTTTGATTTCGTGCGCCAATCGTTCCTTTTGCTGGGATCGGCTTTGTTTACCCATGATCGCGGTGGAGAACGAAACCCTCCCCATCAGCCCTTTTGCCGTATGCCGTAGTTTCTGGGTGCGATGCTGAAGAAATGGGTGAGTCCTCTGATGATTTACTTGTGCTGGGGAGACGACACCAGGTGGGGGCTTGAGGAAGAATATCAGAGCTCTTGCGCAAACGAGATGAGATAGTGCACGTCGGCTCACTCAGAAACACGGCCGTGTGAACACACCCCCACCTAAATTACACTGGAACCTTTCAATGTTCTTTCACTCCAACAATAGCGCGAGGTGCAGATACGCACAAGACGACAACGACACGACAACAGCGTCAGATTGTCGATACGCCGAATACGAAGATATAAGAGAAAACCGCGACAATGAGCGCTCTCAATTAGGGCACCATTGGTTGACTTTAGGCAGCCAAATTAGTATGAAGTGCTAGACGGGGGATGGAGGTGCGGGTGACTGAACTGGGTGAGGAAAAAAAAGGGGGAGGGGTGGGCAATTCAAATCACACATCAATTCCATTCTCTTTGGTTTTAGGGCCTGACGCTGTGCAGGGAAAGTGATCGTCTCTGGGCTGAGAGAGACCGGTTCACTGGGCCGCGCCCAACGACCGGGGACGGGTGGTGGGTTGTGAAGAAGTTGAGGTAAAGGAAAGAACATTGAAAAAACACACACAAAGGGCTTGGCCTGAGGGTTCGGAGCAGCGCTGCATCGAGAATGCGAGAAATACGCGTAATTCTGACTATTCTGGCGGTGCAGCCAAGGGAATCCGGCCCAGGCTTGGAACCCTTGGCGACAGGGCGACATGGGGGATCAATTGGCTCGCTCCTTCTCGAGGGTCGAGCCAAGCAAATCATTGGGCACCCTCCGACAAGCTTCGGGGAATTGGAGTTTCCAAAAGACCGTGGCTGGCTTCCGCCCTCACCCCATCCCATCCTCCATCCCCATCATCATGGATCGCTGCACCAGTCCAGTCCAGTCCTTTGCTCACAATTACATCAAAGGAGCAGGCAGACGGCTTTGCTGCTGCTGTTGCCACTGCTGTGATGGATCGCTCTCTCAAGTTTCGGCGTACGTGCGTTGCAAGGAGACGGATGGGCTGATGGTTGATTTTCTCCGTCCCCGTTCGCCTTGATCGTCAAGTCCTGGCCCTTCGATTATTTGAACCTTGCAATATTCAAGCTCTTTTTTCTTTTTCTTTCTTTTTTTTTCCCACTACCATCACCACTAATAAGCAGGTAGAAATGGATTTTTGTTTCCTTTCGCATCACAGTGAACTCGGAGAAAAGAAAAGAAGCAAAAGGAAATAATATAATAATTGATCGCTAAATAGTCCAAGCTGTGGCATCTGCGCTCTCCTTCAGGTGCCCAAACCGGCCTCGGCGTGCTAAACCTCAGTGCATCCACCCAAAAGGGCCACTCGACGGACACGGGGTCTTAAGAAGGCCGAGGAAATGCCCCGCCTCACGCCGAGGCGGAGACGGAGAGGCCCCATCCAGCGAGCACAGAGGGCGGCCACCACAATTTTTCTTACTGGGAAATGACCCACCCCCACAGCACTATGCAGCAGGGGTGGGAGGCGGAAGGAGCCAAGCCCAGTCTGCACGGTAGGGGTGCACCTAGTCTCGGCCGACGTTGAGCATGCGGTTCCCGAACCTGAACTGTGGGCTTTTAGTAGTCTCTGAAAAAGCTTTTGCTGAAAGAGGGAGTCAGAGGCGAGGTGAAATTTTGTCGCGCCTTGCTCCACGTATTTGGAAAAAGGGGGCCTTTTCGAGAAGGAATCCTTCCTCTTCCTTGCTCTTCTGCCTGCTTACTCTGAATAGTGGACCAGATCCAATGCAGTCGTTCGAAATCTAGTGTATGCGGTGCTAAATCAAGCTTAAATCAAGCTTGGGCTGTCTGCTCGCGAGGGCGATTGGGGGTGCGCCCTCCACGTGCACCCTTGATGACATGGGGGATAGGATCAATTGCAGTATCCGCGTAAACATTGCTCACTGTTATCAATGGATCCATGGGATGGATGGATTCGTCAATTGATCGTTAATGTTTGTACAAAAGACATTCAACTACCCTTTTCGGTCATACCCAGCGACACAGAGTCGTCAGCGAGGTGGCTAAGCCCACACGGCGGCGCGATAACATAACAGAACTAGGTTGGCTCCCAGCCCATTTGAGAACATTTCAACATTCAAATCTCAAATACAAGGAGAGGAAGCATCATCATGCTTGCCCTCCCCTGCCTTGTACTTTGCTTGTCGCGTGAGATCTTGTCCAACCGCCAGCTTTTCCCCAGCTTTTTCCCCCTCTCTCTTTCTTCTTACCCTCCGACGAGCGGATTTAGGCCACATGTCCCCTTTGCCGCAAAATATCACCGATCTCCTCCGACACCCATCGGGAGACTCCGCGGAGACTGGTAGACTGGCCCCCTCGTCTCGCGCGCCCCTGTAGATTAACAGCGCCTGTCACCGTTCCATTCCTCTGCACTGGAAGAGGAGGGGCTAGTAAACCACACATAATAAACAATACAAGTAATTGCTTGTACATGTAGGACTGAAAGAGCGCAGTCGCCTCCTTCTTTTCCCATGGCCCTTTTAGGCGCATCGCACCTCCGCGGGACTAAACGTAGGGCGTAGTCGAGCTTTCTCCGCGCCCAGCGCCCATCATCTACCCGTGTCCATTCCTTGGCAGCTATGACGGCTATCCATCCAAGCCTGCATGGCGACCTGTCTCGTGTACACATGCATCTTGAACTATCCGAAGTGGCTCGGATAACCCCCGGCATTGCACCTTACAATACCTCTCGTCGCTCAGGCTGCGTCCTTTGCCCTGGTCACGGAGATATCTAGGAGATTGAGAAACTGGTTTTTCTCCTCTCCTTTTTCAAGAACCTAGGAAAAAATGGTCGAAAACCCCTCAGCCGCGGCATTCTTCGTTGGGCCCCATCCCGGCGATGTTTCGGCGTGCTGCCCTCAGATGCGCAAAACTTGTGTGGCATGTGGGTCAAGTCCGGCCGGTGCCTTTGATCATGGAACCGTCAACGTGTGTGGTAATGATATCCACTTGTTCGACTAAAACCCCCAAAAGGACAAGGAATAGAAAAAAGGATGTTTTCAATGGCTACCTCTGTGAACTCTACAGTCACCGATCAATGGAGTAGTTGCAAGAATTATTGTAGAGAGAGAGAGAATTGCATTTGTTGCGTCAAATCATTCGCTATCGCTAATGGGATTGGGGATCTTTCGAAAGCTCAATGCTCTGAGAGAGAGTTAACTGACCCAGGCAAAGGTGGGTCAATTAGTATGACAAAAGTGGAGTGTGGAAAAGAAGAAAAAGAGATTCGTGACAATCAGTAACACCAGTAACTCCTCATAGCCTCTCCCACCTGGTATGATCCGTTTAAGACCCAGTCGTGCGTATATATCAAATCAGAAAAAGAAAGAAAAAAACGCAAGCCCGCCCGCCGAAAGAGTCCAAGAATAGGATCGAGCAGGGTAAGCTCAAAACGATTCCTCTATAATATACAAGTGTGAACTGCTCCTCGTTCCCGTTAAAATAGGGTTCCCTGTGCGCCTTTTTAATGTCATGTGGATGAGTTCGTGCCGAGGCGTCGCGAATGTAACCGCTGGTGCTTCTTATAATCTCATTTGCTGGCCGTCATCTTCGTCGAATCCGGAAAACATCATCGGGTCTCCCACGCCGAGCATGACTTCTGGATTTGGGCACGAGACGATATGAGGTCGAAGCCGCCCGAATTCTGATTCCAGGAGCCCTTGCGTGAGCATCTGGGCGCTGGACAGAGTGGCAGGCTGTGTGAGGAAATCGGGTACCATGGACATGTTGGCGGATGAGTCCCAGGCGGCAGCGAATTCCGCCATCGTTGGGCCGTCGGGGAAGAGAACGCCAGCTACTCCGGATTGCTCTGGCGGCGCTTCGAAATCGTTGTAAGGCGGTAGACTTTGAGGGGACAGGAAAACTTGTCCAGTGGTACTCGGGGTCGGGTGATGGTCGTCTTCGTTATCGGAATGTTCGTGTTCGGATGCGGAGCTCATGTCTGTCCTGTTACTCGTCGGCGTGATGCTTCCACCGTGCGTCATACCCGGAAGCTGTCCCGAGCCTTCTGTCTGCTGAGCCTCGAGTTGTTTTACGAGCTCTTCCAGGTCCCTTTCGTTCTCGGGAAATACCGAATGCACGGGGAGATCGATGTCGCTGTTGGGGCGAATGCAGCCGAGTTTGGTGGCGATGTTGTGTACAACGGGAAGGCCCCTGTCGTTGAGCTCGATGTCTCCAAGCTCCCACGCCTCTCCATTACGGACCATGCTGTAAAGCTTGTGGATGGTGGCTATGAGCGCAAACTGTGTGCTTTCAAGCACCTCGGCGTATCTGCAGTAGTTGGTCCGTTAGCCTCACTCGCACGAGAGACAAGAAATGCGCCGCGCGATAGGAAGACTTACCCTCTCGGAAGCTGCTTATACTCAACCTTCTTACGGACACCAGCAGTGCAGATGAGACCATCATCCTTGCACCTCTTGCATGGGAATTCGCCGTCGCACTAGGGAGTGTGTGAGCCACGAATTGGTCCTCGACTTCAACACGATTGCCATGTTATATTGGTTTGAGCTTACCTTGGTCTTCTTCATCCTACACCTCTCACAGGCTTTCCATACCCGCTTATGCCTGCCATCTGAGGCACCAGGAGAGTGAGCATCTAGGTGGCTCGCAGCAGCGCTGATAGGGCCGTGAGAGCCCGCCCGCTTGGTGCTGCGAGCAGATGATCTCGAATTCGATTTAGAGGATTTTCTCGCGGGCTTGTGGACTGCATCCTCCTGGGGAGGAGAGGGTAGATTGTGGTGGCCCATTGCTCCAAAATGATTTACGGCGTAAGAGTAGAGAGACGACACGAGGTAGAAGAAGTAGATGGGAGAAGAGTGATTCCGTCTACACGATCAAGGGAAGAAGTAACTGTATGCATACACATAAAACCGAAAAGCTCAAGAGCGTGTAAGCTTAGGAGGAGAAGACGAGCGAAGGTGGGATGGAGGAACATATAAGAATGCACGCCGCGGGATTCAGGCACCGGGATTGATATATAACCCAAGGGATCAAGCGTGAGAGGGACTAACGAGGTCTGGGACACTGGGACGGGGGACAGAAATGTGAATGACCGCATTTTCGAGGGAAGGGACCACAGTGGGCTCTGAAGGGGGAAGCCACAAAACCAGAGTGGAGTGGGGTGAACCTAACATGTCGGGGGGGAGGGGGTGAATTCGACATTGATCAATGTGGAGACGGGTGTGAAAGTCATGTTCAGGACACTACATATTACAAGCACGCTAGAGAGAAGGCGCAACTCCGACTGCGATTAATAATGTTTCGGCGGGCTTACAAGTACAGGGTGAGTTATGGCTCAAGATGATGACATATAATTGGTACCTCCTGCTTGAAAGGCCGAAGTCTCGACCGGCCAGTTTGGTGGGATCTTTGCAGCGCATTGCACCCATATACCCCTGTTCATCCGGCGACGCCTTGTACTGGTACCCGTCTGATCACACAAGACTGGTCTTCCATCATCTTCCCGGCACAGTTCCATTCACTCCAAAATCCGTTGTCCGCTCGCCCATCGGCCTCCCAGCAAACTCCGCTCCGCAGGGCTCGCACACCGAAGTTTTAAGCATTTGACCCTTTGAGTAATACATTCAACCCACACCCTGTTAGCCTATGCGGTTCGAGGCTGGTTCTGATACCTGTTCCCGCGGCCTTGACTCCTTTTAATGGAACCTGGAGGGGGCAGGGTGAAAAGAAGGAACGACGAAGAAGTGCTAAAAACAAGAGTAGGGTAGAGTAGATAGACAAAAGTCCACAAGATCCCCCTTCTTGCTCTGTGAAGAAGAAGTGCGAGAATCAAAGGCCAAGTGTAGGCCAAGTGTAGGCCAAGCTTTGCCCAGGCAGCTTCCCCACCCACCAGAAAGGGAGAAGACGACGAGAAGAAGCAGAACAGTTCCCCTAAAGTCCTCAATTGTTTTGCAAATCTTCGGCGATGGGACCCCATCTTTGCCCATTTCCATTCCCCTTCCTTGAAAAAGGGAGGGCGCGGGGAGCTTGGCCTCGAAAATTTGTCAAGGCCAGATAGCGGCGTTGTGTTGGTTCACAGGATTTTAATTCCCCAAAATCGAGACTCATAAGCTGGCACGTAGGGTCTGCGCCTCCCCTCCCCACTGTCTGGGAAGTTTGTGCTGCTAGGGCTCGTTGGAAATTTGATTGTTGCAATAGCGGTGGAAAGAACTTGTTTGAGCCTCTATTGAGCTTCCTTCGAGCTTCCTCCGCACTTGGCGCACGTCGGGGGCCGGAGTGAACCCGCCCAGTGAACCCGCCAGCCCGCCCAGTGACAATTCACGGTGACCGCATTGCCGCGTCGCCGCGTCGCCGTGAACGAAAGTGGTATTCCTTCGTACTCGCAGCGTCTTACGCGGATCGCGGCCGCAGCACGGCAGGCATACTAGTCGACGGCGGTTGGTGGTTCTTTTGGGACATGTGAGGAGTATTCTTCTGGCACGACCTCGCATTCTCGCATTTGAAATCCCCGTCGCCGCTTCTTTCCTTCTTCTTCTTCTCTCATCCCACCTGGACGGCTCGGCACCCGAGAAGTGCGAGGGTCATTCCCAATTCGGGCTAGCGCCACAAGGGACCAGGGTACCCGCTCGAGCGCAAACCAGTCACTTCATTCGTCCCTGCCAGAAATTTCCAGCTGCTCTCAGCAATTGGCTTTGAGAGGATGACTATTATGGTGAGCCAGAACCTTTGTTCATCTAACCCTTGTTGGCCTCGCAGATCTCACCATGTACTGCGGACAAGTGTGTACATTTGCCTTGAAGCACGAAGCGCACAACTCCCCAGAGCCTCAGAGTTCCAGAGTTCCAGAGCGGGCAAGTGGACAAGTGGGCAAGTGGGGAACAGCTGGGAGGCTCTGGATAATTGAGCAGGCATCAAATGACATGAGTACTGCAAGTTGCCGGTTCTCATGTGGTTGAATTGAAAACCTGCAGTACGAAAAGGGCTGTAAATGGGGATCGTTATCGTGACGGGTTGTTCCGGGTCAATGTGGGGGTGGCATTCAGAGAGCACGTTTTGCACCCGCCCCAACGCGATGGATCTATCCATTGGATGAGTACGCGGGTGTGCGGCACTGGGGCTCAGTTGAGGGCGGGTTTGGGGGTTCTGGAAAAGAAAGGAAAAAACTCAGCCCAAGTGCCTGAATCCTATTCCAACGGGCGATGTAAGAGTTGGGTCGCAGAGGAGGAGCACTGGCTCCGCTGTACGGGGTTAAGAGCCCTCCCGTAGCAACCTGGAAGCAAGAGAAAACGAGAAGCCAGGAAAAAGAAGGCCGCCTGCCACAAGGGGTTAATGGAGTTGCCGGGTTATGTCCGAAAATAGGTGCACCAGGTCTACGTGGAAACTGGGATGTAGCGGTGGTGGGAAGGATCACTCGCTCCATTGGTATGATGATCTTCCACCTTTAGCCACCTGAGCTTCGAATAACGAAACACGATGGAGATCCAGGAAGAGGCTGGATGAACATTCTACAGAGTTATCGATGAAGAGGGGCGGAAGGGCAGAAGAGCAGAAAGAGTTGGAGGGTAGGGCGTGTACATCAATCTAGCAACATAACTCCCAACGATGATGTCTTGCAAGTTTCCTCTTTTGGAGAGTTGATGGAATTGTCTCATCGGGGACAGCTTGTCAGCAACAGCTCCGTTTCATGGAATTCCGCCCCCTAAGTCACACCCTACCCTACTTTTGCTTGCCTACTTGCCTACTCGCCTCCTCCCCGATCCGGGACCCACTCTTCAAAACAGGTGGGTAACTGAAGTGATTCACGCGGAAACCATGATGATTGATTCTGGTGATGGTCAGACGAGGCCAACGCGAAAGTATCAACATGTGGTGAAAGGGGCACCAGAAAACCCGGTCACTGATAAGACTAGATGAAGAATGCTCTTCGTTTTCTCGGAAGAGCTCAAGAGCAGAGCACGACTTGTCTTTTCTTCCCCCCTTTCCGCCCTGCCTCTTCGGCTCTTCAGTCAATCCGTTAGGGTTCACACTAATTCTCTCAATCTTCACCAGTCTGCATTTTGTTGTGGATACAAACTAGCCTCGATGCAGTGACGTCCTCGATATAGATCAATCATAAAGGGTTCAGCGAGCCTCGGATTGGGGGAATGAGGCTCACGACGACCCCGATAGACCGCCGAGTGATGAAGTGAATCTGCGTCATACGAGAGCTCGGTTTCCCCACCCTTCAAATTTCCCCTGGAGTCTCCAAAAGAAACATCTAATACTGTGAAGTTGCCCTTTTGGGGGCGTTAGAGGATTTCTGATATCTTTAACGCACCACTTCGATCGGCTCAGATGATGGATGGCTCACTGTTTGGGGATCAATTGATACTACATGTAGTGGGCAAAAAGGGGTTCTCGGGGCTTGGGTGATCCGCTCTTGAGGCAAGCTGTCGCTCAGTAGATAGATCCATTGTTACTGATGGGGCAATCAAAAGGTTCAATGTTCCGACTGTGCGGCCAGATCAAATTCTGAGACTTGAGCATGCGCCAAACGATGGTGAGTCCTTGGGATAGATCTATCAAGGTTTTCGACCGACAAAAGCGGACCTCGGGAGAAGCTGATTTGGGCGATCTATCACCAGCTTTTTTTTCAAGGGCAGAGAAGCTTATTTCCGAACTTGCGACCAAGTTGACCAATTTTCATCCAAAGTACAGCTCCATTCATAATTCACATATTATCGAAGTGTGACCTTCAGACACTCCGGTCGAGCTCGGAGGACCACAAATTTTGAAATCCCTAAAACCGCCTCCACCACTGGAGTCTGGTCTCCTTTTTCTTTTTCTTTTTTTTTTTTTTGAGGTAAGAAAAGAAAAATTTATGTTAGTGGTGTCCACAGCGAGCGCGTGAGTAATAATGATTTGCCCAGCGAATAGAAAAAGCCAGACAAGGCCGGAGGAGCTGCAGATCCTCCAAAGCTCTCCGGGATTCACCGCTGGGTTAATTCCGGCCCACGCCCCCGACCCCACCACGGCCGGCAGGGAAACGAACGAGACGATGGCCAGCCGAAATGTCAACCATGCCCATTCAAGCTAACACGCAGGACGGACGGGCGCCAACAAAGACGTCTCGAGACCCCACGACCCGCTCTCCACACAATATTGCCCATGTAGTAGTACGACTAATCCATAAAGTCTGCGAAGAGGCGTGCTTTGCACTAGGGGTTCGGAGACATTTGAAGAATCCAACCCGGTCGTGTGCGGACCGAAAATTTTGGGCCTCGATGGAAGCCATCAAAGAACCCTGATGGAACTCGGGCCAGCTTGGCTGCCTGCTTTTGAGACATCGCCCTACTTGTACATGTTATGATCAATGTTGCCTCTCGTCTACTATGACGAGAACATGATAATATAAATCCTTCGAGGGACTCTAGTGGCTTCCATTGGATTGGGCATGAATGTCGAATCAATGGCCCCTTCACCCATAACGGTGAGAAGTAACGCATAACGAGTATGAGCCAGGTTCGCTCATCGCTCGCATGGTCACCCATGGCTTGGGATCCGGGCTGAGTCAACTCGGCGATGTTTTCATCTTGTCTAGGAACGAACCAAGTGGGATTTTCAAGGCAACGGAGGTTCGGGATTGCATCGTACGTTGCTAGTAGGAGAGAAAATAAGAATCAACATCAAAGAGATGAAAGGCTGAGAAGAAGAAGAAAAATCCCGGACAGTGGCCACTGAAAAGATTTTTATCTTGTTCGTACCCAATCACCTCGCCCGTCCTCTCCCGGGACTCATTCTCACTCAT